TATATATATATATATATATATATATATATATTAATGTTGTGTGTGTGTATATATTATGTGTGTATATATATATATATATGTATGTGTGTACATGCATGCATGCATGCATGCATGCATACATACTTTTAACCACACTAAATTATGCGTAATTACATGCAAGTAACCCTAAGCCAACCCCTAATCCTAACCATATAGTAGGTACATGTAGCTAATTAATATTACTCAGTTCCTAAATGTATAATTATACTGTAACAAGGACACCTTAAAATAAAGTGTAACAAAGTAATCTATAATCCATGTATTTACAATGTAGTACTGTAATACTTGTATGCATGTTCTCATATGTCCTCACTTTGTCCTCTTTTGTTTTTTTTGGTAAAATGCTTTTTTACCTGATTTAATATACAGAAGTGTCTATAAGCAAGCCATTCTTAGGCTGATTTCCAGAGGAAAACTGACGACATTTCTCTCGCTCTCTCTCTCTCTTTTTTTTAATTTTTATTTGATGGCACAATGCAACACAAAAATTTCACATGATTCAAGCATTGTGTCTGAAGCTATTAAATGTTTTAATCCTATTGTCTTGTCACAGAGTACCATTGATCCTGGTGGGGAATAAATCGGACCTGGTGGAGCACAGCAGCATGGAGACCATCCTTCCCATCATGAACCAGTACTCTGAGATTGAGACCTGTGTGGAGGTGAGAAATCTGCACAGTCTGATCTAAATGTAGGTGACGACGTGCTGTATATGCCTCTCAGATCTCCAGTGGCTGTGAGACTGAGTGTGTGCAGAGGGGCAGGAGTGTCATGGAGGAGAGTGACATGTGTCCATCACTCATTCCTGCTTTACTGGAGGCATTGGTTTCAGTCTAAAAGGAAAGACAGAGCTCTCACACTGAGAGTCCAGTGAATGCAAATCAAATCAGTCCTTTATTCCTGTGCACATGAAGCATTACTTGATTTGCATGACTGTATCATGCGCTTTTTTCACCAATAAGAAAACCACACTTTTTTTGTCAGGTATCTTCTGCAGTGATACGGCAAGGTGTCTACCAGTATTTGTTTGATCTCAGATCATTATTATTTTTTTTTTTGTGGGGGAACAAGAAATTATATGTAAAAGAAAACAGTTCAAATCAATATGGGAGGATAATATGTATGAATAAAGTTAATTTAATAAAGTAAAATGCAAATGCAAGTATTTGACTTTGTATGTCAGTTATAAAGCAATTATTTGAATGGCTTTGCAGTGTAAACAAAGTATGTAAATATTTTATTGTGATATATTAGGCATGTTCTTATAGATCATGCGATTGAGTTTTATACACAATATAATGTGGTTCCTTCCCTATTAAAGATCCTTGTCTGATAGCAAAACAATTATGTATTGTTTACAGTTTATTTCTACTTAATATTCATTAAGAAATTATGAAACCTTTTTAAATTAAGTGTTCATTATATTAGATGTAGAGGAAAAAATATATAAATAAGAATGCTGTACTAAAAATAAATATATATATATTATTATTTTTTTTATTTTATATATATATATATGGAAGACATAAGCCATGATGTACTTTACTAATATAATGACTTTATTCATTCTTAGTGTTCAGCCAAAAACCTGAAAAATATCTCAGAGTTGTTCTACTACGCCCAGAAGGCTGTTCTGCACCCGACAGGACCGCTGTACTCTCCAGAAGACAAAGAGGTAAATATTACTTCAGTTGGACTGCTGGATCTGTTAATATGACCACTTTCTATTATAAAGAAGAGCATCAAAATATTCAAATAAGTAATGTGTTCCATTCTGTTTATTCTCCAGATGAAGCCTTCGTGCATCAAAGCACTTACTCGCATTTTCAAAATATCAGACCTGGACAATGATGGCATTCTAAATGATAATGAGCTTAATTTCTTCCAGGTGAGAGCAGTTTTCTTCAGCACCCTGTGCTCAAATTGCTGTGGCATTTTAATACTTCCTCAAATAAATGACAGGAGAGGTTGTTTACACACACACACACAGCTGCACAAACGGCACATTAATGAGAGCGTCATATTTTCTCAAGCAACTTTGTCGATGATTGTTGGTATTGCGTTGCAGAGAACTTGTTTTAACATACCTCTGGCACCTCAAGCCCTGGAGGACGTGAAGAATGTTGTGCGGAAAAATATGTCAGATGGCGTAAAAGACAATGGCCTCACACTGAAGGGTGAGCTGAGTAGAAAGACAAATGTCGCTGGCTTTTTATATCACAGTTATGCAGTGATACTTGGCTTCCCATTGCCATCATTTTGTTTAAAATATATATACATATAGTATAGTGGTTTGTAAATTCCTCATGTTCCTTCATTTATCAGGTTCTGTTGTGTCTGAGATGTGTTCTCTGTTTTCTAGGTTTCCTGTTCCTTCATACACTTTTTATTCAGAGAGGAAGGCATGAGACCACATGGACTGTGCTCAGGAGGTTTGGTTATGATGATGACCTGGAGCTGACCCAGGAATACCTGTTTCCACTGTGAGTCCCACCCCAGATCCAGTACTTCAACTTTACATGAATCATGTCTCATCAAGTAGCTCATAGCTCATCTCTGGTTGGATCACATTTTTTGCAGATCTGTTGCGCTGCCCCATTTTGCAAAGAAACGCACACATTCAAATTGTGGTTTTCTAATTAGTTCAGAAGAATTTCTAACATCTATTTGTTTTCCTAGGTTAAAAATACCTCCAGACTGCACCACAGAGCTGAACCACAACGCCTACCTCTTCCTCCAGAGTGTCTTTGACAAGCATGACAAAGTGAGCTCAGCCAAATACAAGTTTTCTAAATAGCTGCATTTGATAAGGATGGTTATCTAGCTTCAGTCAGAGCATGAATGAAGATGATTGACTGACTGTACGCCGCCTGGCTCTTTGTTTAATTGCGTAATGCAAGGGTGTGTTTTACGACACCGCCTTGTAGAAGGACATGCCAGGGGCCATTCACAGGCATTTTTGAGTTTTTAAAAGTTGGCTTAAGAAAAAATAGCGAGGCGTGATGCAAAAATGAAAGATACCCCATGTAGGAAAAATGTTAATGAACACAAGAACGCCCTATGAACTGAATCTATACTTTCATCCCAAATTGTTTGTATATTAGGATCGAGACTGTGCCCTGTCTCCAGATGAGCTGAAGGATTTGTTCAAGGTCTTTCCCTACATGCCCTGGGGTCCCGATGTCAACAACACAGTTTGCACCAATGAGCAGGGCTGGATCACTTACCAAGGCTACCTTTCTCAGTGGACGTGAGTGCTGCCTTCATCCTACAGTACTTGAAAATGGAAATGAATGGAAATAATGGACTTTCTGATATTTGTGTTCATCTGAATGAGTGACTTAAACATGATTTATCTCCATTTCAGGCTAACAACATACCTAGATGTGCAGCGATGTTTAGAGTACTTGGGTTATCTTGGTTACTCCATTATCCAAGAACAGGAGTCACAGACAGCTGCTGTCACAAGTAAGAGAGCATTTATTATGCATCTTGATTCATTCATTCATATATAAGGCTGCTTTTTAATTCATTAATGTGTTGTTGTTGTGCAGTTACGAGGAATAAGCGCATCGACCTGCAGAAGAAACAGACCCAGCGCAGTGTTTTCCGCTGCAATGTCTTAGGAGCTCGAGGCAGCGGTAAAAGTGGCTTTCTGCAGGCTTTTCTTGGCAGGAACCTTGCGGTGAGTACAGATGCCTCACAGGAGCATGTAGTGTTCTGACTTGGACTTGATTTTGACTGTCTCCTTCATATTGCAGCGTCAGAAGAGGATAAGAGAAGACCACATGTCTTACTATGCCATGAGCACCACTTATGTTTATGGACAAGAGAAATATCTGCTTGTAAGTCAAAGTTCTGTTGCTTCGTCCACTAATGCATAGTCATCTTCATGTCTAGCCAGTGCTGATTGTTTTTCTCTCTCTTTCTCAGCTGCACGAGGTGCTGCCGGACTTTGAGTTCCTTTCTGAGGCTGATCTGGCTTGTGATGTTGTTTGCTTGGTGTATGACATCAGCAACCCGCGTTCTTTTGAGTACTGCGCTAAAGTCTACAAGGTTAGCATATTTTTAAAATAGATTTATCGGCATTTTATATTTATGTCCTGGTTAATTATATATTCCTTATTAAAGGTCACTTTGGTAAGAAAAATTATAATTATTATAATTCTGCTTTATTAAAATTGTCTTGACTATATTAAAAAGTTTGGGGTTGGAAATCTTTTTTTTTTATGTTTTTTTTTAGGGCTGTCATTGTTAATGCATGCGATTAATTTTACAATCTTTAACGCGTTAAAATAATTTAACGCAATTAACGCAAAATTATTGAAGCACTATTTCTATTCTAACCCTTTAACCCAATTTTGCTTCTCTGCTTGCGATCAGATCATTTTAAGCTAAACTCCGGGAAAGTTGCTGTCCAATGATCCAGTAAGCGAATGCATTCAAACAATCCATCCAAAGCAGCGTTAATATAAAGGAAACCAGGCTGATTACATCAGAGATTGCAGAGCACACAGAGACAGTTTTCAGTGAATTATTCATTCCAGTGTGTTTCGCTTTTAAGCACAAGCTCTGTCATATTCTGTGATTGTCTCTGAAGAGCGCAAGCCCTCACACGTCGCGCTGTGTGTGAAGTACAGACTGAACGGAATGTCAACGCATCCCACCGCTGTATGGCCAGATGAGACGCAAACTACGTTTTCTCGACTGGATAACCAGTCTCGCTAGTAAAGTTTTGATAGATGAAGACTGCAATCAAGGTAAAGATGATTGCGGTGGCATACAGGAGTTGTACAGTAAGCACGCATGAGTCCGTTATAATAATGCGTGTATGAGTGCTCTTGACACACTGATCGCACATTGTATTTATGCACAGACATTTCCGTACATTCACGTTGTTTCCACACACATTCACGATAATGTTTTGATTTGTCATGTATATGTTGCTGTGTTTAGTTATTCTGAATGGATCCGTCTGTAGTAGATCTATGCAGTCAGCAGGCGGTTGGTGTATGTCTTTTTTGGCATCTCCATGTGGTCCTGTTCGGTATCGCAACTTGGCTTCTCTAAAATGTAAAAAATCTCTTTGCTGTTGCACTACACATACTATAAAATTCTGATTTTTTTCTTTCTTTCATATGTGTTTATATGGGCTCCTTATATCATTTGGTTCTTTGGTGTCATTTTGGAGTTTCTAAGTGTCCTTTTTTGGAAAGACATCTAAATTTATCTTGAATAAAGCTTGCAGAAAATACTGATTTTTGAGAATCACCCTTCAATCTTTTTGTTTACTTTGCTGTATATAGCAAATGATGACAAAATAAACATTTGAAACAAGATAAATGGTCTATGCTTAGTTTCATGAAGTGTGCAATTAATCACAGAAAAAGGGTGTGATTTAATCAGATAAAAATTAATTGATTGACAGCCCTAGATTTTTTAAAAGAAGTCTCTTATGCTCACCAAAGTTGCATTTCTTTTATCAAAAATACAGAAAAACAGCAATATTGTGAAATATTACAATTAAAAATAAATATTTTCTATTGCAATTTTAAAATGTTATTTATTCATGTGATCAAAGGTGAATTTTCAGCAACCATTACTGAAATTATTATTGAAAACCATTATTGAAAACCATTACAAAAAAAAAAAGCTAAAAAAAAAAAAACACAAATATAACTCCACATATGTGTGATGTTCTTTCACAGAAACACTTCTTGGACAGCAAGACACCCTGTGTGATTATTGCTGCCAAGTCAGACCTGCATGAAGCCCGTCAGTACTACAGCCTGTCTCCGCTGGATTTCTGTCGGAAACACAAGCTTCACCCGCCGCAGATGTTCACCTGCAACACAGACGAAGCACCCAGCAAAGACATCTGTACCAAACTCACCACTATGGCAATGTATCCGTGAGTATACAGCCCCTTCTTCAACCAGACCCATCTGCTCCACTGTTTACTACTCCTGTTAGATCGTGATTGGCTCCTCTGACTCTCCCTCTTTTGTTTGTCTATCAGTTTATTATCTCCTTTTGTGCTTCTAAAGCTGTTAGATATCATAGTAGCAGCTAGCTGCAGTATCTTGGAAAGCTGATCTTTCATTCGGTTTCAGAGTCGTTCGAGTATTATTTGTTCTATGGTCTTTTCATGTAGTGTATAACAATTTCAGGTTTCATTTGTTATGTAGTGGCAGGTGGTGATGCAAGCTATGCGCCAGTTCTTTCCTAAGGCTGTGTATGAGAACCTTAGTTTAAATTGTAACTGATTTTGACAATTAAAATTACATAATTTTTCCGGAAAAGGGTGTATGTGTAAAAGCGCCTGCTACTTGTCTGGACCGCTTTATACAATACAGAGTAGTGGTCGGCCGATATTTGGCTTTTTTTTTTTTTTATATCGGCATCAGTCGATACGTTTTCCTGGTTGGCCGATGCGTTCGAGGAGCACACAGTGCTCACATTCTCCCTCTTGTTCGCTGTCGTCATTAACAGTTCTGTCTAATATGGACAGAAATCTGTCTAATAATCAGATAGAACGGTTAAACAAAGTTATTAAAATGTATACAAAAAGTATTATAACGATTGCTTTTATATTATTAGTAATAGAAAGGCAAACATTATAATACTTTCTTGTTTGCCGTCAGCATTTAACAAATACGCATTTATATCATTTAAACAAATCTTTGAATGACTAATGAACATTTAATTTCACAAAGCTTTCAAACTTCAGTTGTGAGATCTTGTGAAATGTGCATTTGTATCCTGCATGATCACGTGTTCTCTGCGTGACGGTCGATCTGTGCGAATGTAATGCGGACAGGTGGAGAGTTCAGCTTCACTAGAGATGCATGATCGACAAACTTTAAACTCGTGATTATAAATTATGCTGTGCTTTATGCATTTGCTCACTGTCAAGTTCATGCAATTAAAATTACATAATTTTTCCGGAGAAGGGTGTATGTGTAAAAGCGCCTGCTACTTGTCTGGACCGCTTTATACAATACAGAGTAGTGGTCGACCGATATATCGGCCGATATTTGGCTTTTTTTTTTTTTTTTATATCGGCATCAGTCGATACGTTTTCCTGGTTGGCCGATGCGTTCGAGGAGCACACAGTGCTCACATTCTCCCTCTTGTTCGCTGTCGTCATTAACAGTTCTGTCTAATATGGACAGAAATCTGTCTAATAATCAGATAGAACGGTTAAACAAAGTTATTAAAATGTATACAAAAAGTATTATAACGATTGCTTTTATATTATTAGTAATAGAAAGGCAAACATTATAATACTTTCTTGTTTGCCGTCAGCATTTAACAAATACGCATTTATATCATTTAAACAAATCTTTGAATGACTAATGAACATTTAATTTCACAAAGCTTTCAAACTTCAGTTGTGAGATCTTGTGAAATGTGCATTTGTATCCTGCATGATCACGTGTTCTCTGCGTGACGGTCGATCTGTGCGAATGTAATGCGGACAGGTGGAGAGTTCAGCTTCACTAGAGATGCATGATCGACAAACTTTAAACTCGTGATTTCAAATTATGCTGCGCTTTATGCATTTGCCCACTGCCATATTCCTGTCATTTCCACTGTGTGCTGTATGTAAAATGAGTGTTACCTTGGCTTTATTTGGAAAAAATATGATTCCCATTGCACATAAACTTCCCAGAATACGGAGTGCCCTGTTGGTTACAGTGTTTACTTCCTTTTTTTAATTATATATTTTTTAAAATATTTATTTATTTGTGAAAAATACTTTGTCATCTAAAGTATAAGTATGTTTATTTAACACATTTACTTTTTAATCCATTTTCAAATTTCTTAAACATTAATTCAAATAAATAAAATAATATCGGCTTTATATCAGCCATCGGCCACCCTGCTTTCCAAGATATCGGCATCAGCTGTCAAAAAAAAAAACAATATCGGTCGACCACTAATACAGAGTACTAATAAGCTTAATTTTGGTAAACTATTCTTTGAATTTTTCCTTTTTTTTTTAATTTTTTTTTTTTTTTTTTTTTTTTTTTTGTAGGGCTGCACAATTTGGCCCAAAACTTCAATTTACAGATCAATATTACAACAACAAAAACAGCAATAATTTTATAGTGCATCTGTAAAATTTCCATGCATATATTTATGGCTGTTTTAATCTCTTGTTTTCAAACATTAAACCCTCAAGCTTTTATTTTGGTGGCAAACTACAGGGAGCTCTTCTGTCATCATTTAGTCACCCTCAGGTTGTTCCAAACTTGTAAGAATTTCTTTATTCGGCTGATCACAAATGAACCGTTACTTATCCCTTTGACTTCCATAGTATTCGTTTCTTACTGTTGAAGTAAGTGGGTACCAGCAACTGTTTGGCGGTTTTAATTCTTGGGTGAACTGTTCCTTTAAACTACTTATTGTTGACCGCAGTCAGTTTCTAAGCACTTCTCATTGCCAGTTTGGGAAGATGCTTGGTTCTCAAATGCATGTTATAAGGGACCAAAAAGCTCACAGCAAATGCAAAGATGGAGTTTGGGATGAACAGCATTTACTGCAAACTGAGCCGCCATGAGACATTGAAAACACTGACCAGATCATGAGCTGGAAAGTGGTGTGCTTTACTCTGAAATACGCAGCACAAATATTTAATTAAGTTGCAGTCTTCGTGATTTGATAATCACACAAAAACCATTTCACAAATTAGTTTTTTTTTTGATTAATCGTGCAGCCCTATTCAAGCTTTTTGCTCGAGTTTGTTTTGCTAGCTTCTTGGAATCTTTCCTTTTATGTGTTTTACTTGTTGTGATGTTTCAAGGCTTCCCAGCGTAATTTCTTTTCCTGTTCTTTCTTTTTGCATAACGTGTCTGTAGATAGCCGGTTTTCCCAAGAATCTCGTCTCACAGCAATAGAATATATATTTTTTCCCCCCATATATTTAGTTTACTGAGCTTACATCCCCACACTCCTCCATCTCCAAGCCCAAGCAGAGAAGCAGCTTTGGGATCCAGCTCTCCTGGAGCTGTCACATGATACTGACTCTTCCTGTCTGTGTGTGTTTCTGCAGCCATGCCAAGTTACGCTGCATGTGCAGTTGCAACAGGTGCACCTATTGCATCTGTCACAACCTCCTGAAATCTGAGCTGGTGCGCTCGGTAAAGGCCAAACTCTACAGTGCTGTTCTGAACAGGTCTCTGAGTATTGCCCTATATATCCCCCATTCACCCACTCCACAGGGCGATCTCTCTAACCTCGGCTTCTTAACACGCTTTCTTGCTGTTGGCCTGACAGGTTTACATTGCATATCCACAGAGAGATTGTTGGGAAATGTTCTGGCTATATGTTAAAATGATCACTTCTGTGTTATTTTAAAGTTCAAATTTATCATAGCTATCAAAAAGTCAGAGATGTCTCTAAGTAGACTGGCCAGATGATCCCATTGACTCATTTCATCCACACAAAGCCCAAACATATGGCATTCTAGCAGCTCTTGTTGATTGTTAACATTGCACTTGAATCCAGCATTTGCTATTTAAGACTCAGTAATGAGGCTTGGTAGTGCACTTTTGATTCTACTTCAGGCATCTTAGCAATTGTTTCTTAACCCAGTGTGCAAAGCCGACTAAATCCTGCTTGCTTTTTTCAAATATGAATGTTAATTTAAAACTAGAGATGGGAATAATTTTTTTCAAAATACAAGAAACAAATGATTTTAATCTTAAATGATTAAAATTTTTTCACATGACTGTTGAACACCTGAATTCCTCTGTCAATGCTGATAGACACTAAACAAGCATTTGCAAAACAAGGACTCTTATGAATGATTCATTAAAACCATTTAAAAAAAGGAATCTTTTGGATTTTGGACCGAATAAGACAGCTTTGCATTTGTCCTCATGATGTTTAACCCTTCTTTCTAGTGAGTTGAGGTGGATATGCAAGCAGTAAATCTGCACTAATTCACTCATCCTTGCTCCAGGGACAACTGTGGCCACCTGGTTCATATGAGCCCTTCCTTTTTGGTTGCATTTCTTCCCGAGTTGTTTTTAGATACAGAGCAGTTGATCTCTTAGATTGCATAGATCTTCTAATCTTTTTTACTGCTTCTAAAATGTAACACCAGATGAATGCACGGGTGTGAGTTGAACGATTTCCCTATGCTTATTTACATAGAAAAGAATAAGTAACCATTAATGTTATTGCAGAACTTTATTTTATACATCATATTTTCTTTAAAGCATGTGCCTGTCTTACACCCTTTTGGTTTTTCATCTTGTTCTCATGGTGCACAAAATTTTGTGAAAAACTTTTTATTTATATATATATATATACAGTGGGTACGGAAAGTATTCAGACCCCCTTAAATTTTTCACTCTTTGTTATATTGCAGCCATTTGCTAAAATCATTTAAGTTAATTTTTCCTCATTAATGTACACACAGCACCCCATATTGACAGAAAAACACAGAATTGTTGACATTTTTGCAGATTTATTAAAAAAGAAAAACTGAAATATCACATGGTCCTAAGTATTCAGACCCTTTGCTCAGTATTTAGTAGAAGCACCCTTTTGATCTAATACAGCCATGAGTCTTTTCCCACTGTATATATATATATATATATATATATATATATGTATATATTGAATTTAAATCTGTTGAATTTAATCTTGTGAATTTTTGTTCTGTCCCTTCATAGGTGTTCCTTTTCGTTTGTTTGGCTTGCCCTTTTCGTCTTTGCTTTGCATCTCTTTACATCATGTTAGCAATCTCCCCGTCTGTCCCTATCCTCTCTAACCATCATCTGTTTCTCAGCATTAGTTAAGCAAGCTTTCTCAGGACTAACTGGTCATATGCAGTGATGTGACATCTAAACGGCCTAGTTTATGTGTTGGATTGTGTCTGTATTTGGATGACTAACATGTCTAACCTGTTGCTGCTAATATAGTGTTTCATCTAAAACACAAGCTTCTCTTGCTATTATTGTTTGGTGCTTTGATGGATAGTATTTCATGTATTGTTCTTGACTATGTCATTTAGCCAGTCATTTTACAGTCAGTCTGCTGTTTAAGAAGTGTATCATCTTAATTTATAGGTGGTTAAAAAACTATATAAAAAAAATAAATAAATAAAAATATCCCTTGTGCGACCTTTTGGACATTGTTGTCCTTTTCATTTTATTTTATTTTTTTATCATTTTGCCTGTGTTATTGCCAACTGCATAAATTTTAGCACAGGTGTGTATTTTTATTGGAATTTTACTATTTCACTTCCATTTCCTTTAATAAATATGTTTTGCACTAGGTACAAAAAGATGTTCCTCTAAGGACCTTAAGGACAAAAATGTCCCCATTGAAACCCATTAAAACTGCTATTTTTAATCGCAGTGCCATTTAACTGTAAAATTATGCAATTTTTGTTGATAGGCTTTCATTCTATTGGCAAGGCTTTAAAATGTAATTTTTTACAGTTTTTTTACCAGATGGTGCCATTTTTTTTCAGGTTTGACCTATAAAGAAAATACTTGCTTAATTCCTTTTTTCTGCTTCTGCATATTATAGAGCCAATTGGATAAATAATGCAGCTATAATTGTGTGGGTGTGTTGGTATGGATGTCAGAGTGTGGTTTGTATGTGTAAAACTCTACTGCAAATCACAAATCCAACCACTGTGTGCACCAGCAGAGTTTTGCTGGCATCTAATGGGGAAAATTTGGTACTGCGCCCAAACAAAATCTTATTGAAAGCTCATTTTTTGAGATATCAACCTCAAATTTGGAATACAACTTGTTTAGATTTATGGCTTTGATTTTCTAGCAGGTATAGAGTTCAACATGTTTCATAAAATATATATTTTATATAAAACATTGTTCATAAAACATTTTCATAAACCTAAACATCTAGAACTTTTTTTTGGTTTCACTTTTTAAACTTTTTTTACTTAAACAATAATCTGCCATGGGTCTTCTTTAAAATGAGACCAAACTTAACTCTGTGCTCCCAAGCTTCAAATTTTTATGACCGTTTTTTGACATGGACATTTTTGTCCACTATGGACCGATGTGTAACTTTTTTTAATTGACGCACAAGGGATATATAAATAAAAAAATTAATTTTTAAAACGTTATAACAAATTTGCTTAATATACATTAAAGCCACTAAATAACCAGTCATTAAATATGAAGAAAAAATATTTTTTTTCAGTGACAAAGCTGCTATTTCACATTAATAAGCGGGTGTGTAAGAGTGTGTGTGTTTACAGCATGTGGTGAGCTGTGGGGTACATTGGGGTGGTCCTGCCGGGTGTGCGGTTGTTGAACTGCCATGCTGTGTGCATGTGTGCATAAGGTTGAGGCCTTTTATACAAGATGTGGGCACGTTTCTGTTGACTGATGAGGAGTCCAGCCTCACCCATCAGGTTCATGCAGTCAGCTTTGTAGAGGACTCGATCTACATGGAGTCGTCTGTCGACCCGTTTGTGCCCGTTTGTAACAGGTAAAAGCCCCGCTCACTGGACTACAAGGTGCCACAATTTAAATGGCATTTTAAGTTCAAATAAGGATTCTGCTTGACTAGTTTTAAGTGAGGTGGTTAAATTAAATTCTTCTTTACTTTTATTTTATTTTTCTCACCTCATCCTTAAGGTATCTGCAGATGTCACTGACTGATCTGATTTGTTAAGATTACTCAATGTGTACTTATTTGTTGCGTTGTGAATGCCACCTTTGTTGCTTTAATGAGCGCTTTTTTCAGCTACATATTTTCATAGGTTTCACACACACAAAACGTTGATCTGATAAACCTTTAAAGTTTTGTGTCTCAGTCTTGAGTTTGGATGTGCAGCGTTGAGCTTTTTGAAGTGAGTTAAACCTTCTGGGTTTGTGTTGGGTGGGTTTCATCTCACCAGAGACCTCTTGTTTCTGTTCGGTTTCTCATTTTGACCATGTCTTTATCTTCTGAGCGGTGTGCCTTTAAACATGTTCAGCCCCTGAAAACATTAGCTGGCTCTCTCATGCTTTCCTCTGCTTTCCCATGCTACCTCTTTCCCCATTTCAACAGCGTATCTGTCTGTGTATAGCATGGGATGTCCAATAGGCAAAACAAAATAAATTTTTACTAAGTATTAACACTATTATATGCTCAAATTATTGTCAGGGTAAATTTCATAAAACCTGTCAAGGTCACATTTCACCCCCAAAAAATAATACGAAAAATAATAAATATATAAAAAAACAATAATGTTGCATAATCTTCATGAAGCCTGTTTACTTGCCTTTGTAAAGTTTAATGCCTTTTGCCTGTGAAACAAAAATTACTCAATATTACATAATTTTTTGGTTTTTGAAAGCAGTGAAACATACTTTAGTTTTTACATAATGCATCATTGATATCTGCATATTTTTAATGTATTGTTATTGGTAATTACATTAATTAATTAACAACAATTTTTTTTGGTTTTTGCATTATGGAAATAGGAATTTGGGAGAGATTGTTCTTTCAAATAATGGTGTATATATATATTTGTACATAATAGTAGTATATAATTGGTGATTTAGGGATGTTAATTGAAAATCCTATTTTCTAGCGCTAGTAATATTTAGACATTTAGTCGTTTGTCATCTCACAAACCATATGAGTGCACTTATGTTCTATTAACAAACATCCACTTTTTCCCTTCACTTTGGCTCTTTTTTTCAGACACATGACCCAAGCTGACCTGAAAAACTCTACGTTTTGGCTGAGGGCGAGTGTCGGTGCCACCGTGTTTGCTGTTCTTGGCTTCGCCATGTACAAAGCTCTCCTCAAGCAGCGGTGATCAGTGCATCTGGCATGTTACAGCAACCCCGGCCCTCTGAGAAACTACAAAACCCATGATCCCTCATCCCATCCTTATTTCATTTAGGAGAGAAGATTCCTAGTAATAGTTAGCTACATTTTGTATAGTTAAACCTGCCTTTCCCGAACCAAGTGTTATAGGAACTCACCTCATCAGCCATGTGGTGGAACAGGACATCTACATTAACGGCGGGAGCTGTAATCGTGTCCTCTGCTGTTCCGACATGAGGTTTTTATTCATGCACACTGATGTTTTCCTCAGGTCAGTATTAATTGGTGTGACCTATACTGAAGAGACAGCAGAGAGTGAGGGTTTACTGATAGGTGACAACACTGTTTATATGTGTATATATCTTACTGGACACTCTAAGATTGTCTCTAGTTAGTGAACAAACCATATTTGAACTGTATCACATAGAGATACACTCGTGCTTGTGGGAGAAGCACTGAAACAAAGCCATTTCTCGCATGTAAAGGTCATTTTACTCTTGGCACATCTCAGCTACTGTATGTTAATTTATTAGCCTTATTTCTGTCTTTTTTGGCATTGCTTGAAGCAGTCATAGTTATGGATTCTTTTATGCAATATTAGTTTTTTATTTTGATCATTTGTTTTTTTATTTTCTACCCATGGCCTTTGTAAAGATTATGCACAGGAAAAAAAAACTTTTATGTTTAGTAATGAGATGGCGTAAATTGGTTAATTCCAAACCAGACTAATAAGAACCTGCTTGCTACATTATAAAGACTGTATGAATTCTTCCTAACTAACAATCATGTAGAGACAACGTCATGTTTGTTCTAATGTTTCAGCTCTTATGCATATGTAACTTTCAATGCAGTTTCCCTGTTCAAAACCATGGGATTGTTGCACATGTGGGTTTTCAAACATTTACAATAAATTATGGTGTGAATAAATCTGTCTTGTTTGCTTTTGAGACACCTATTCGAATTGTACTTCATTGGGATTGTTTTTTTGTTTTTTTTCATCTTTTGCAGTCTTTTCAAAAATGGAAATCAGTTGAGTACAAATTGAATAAAACGGAGAACTGCAAAGCAAATTAACAAAAACCTCCGCCGTATTTTGGCATTTGACTGAGGACAGCGTCTCTTTATTATACAAAGATCAGAAGTGAGGATGTAACGGTTTCAGGGGGAAGTCATGATGTTGATTTATGTTTATGGTGAAGTGTGAACACTTTCAGCATACAAAGAGCCATGAGCATGTCCACTGGAGGAGTAGCGCCAGCTCCGCTCTGCCAGGGCTTTCTGAAGAAACGGACAGACAAAATGGTATGACTATAATGTACATATTGCTAGCGTTTCATGTTATTTGCATGAACCGTGTGACTAAAAAAAGAGTTATTGCTAAATACTTAGTTAATTAAAAGGCCTGTTGCAGAATGCTTTATATTCTCTCTTTATATTTATTGCAGAATTTATGCAATTATTACATAATGTATACACCTAAGGGAATCTCTTTACTCCGTGGCTGAATGTGTTTTCCTCAGAGGCTGCGGTGGGTGACTTACTGGCTCAGACTTTACAATACAACTCTCTTTTTCTACACTAAAAACATGGGAGTGCTGTAAGTATTCAAGTGTTTCATTTAATAATTCTTATGATGCTTTTTAAAAGTGTACTGCTGATGTCAGATAAAAATAGTACTATATTTTTGTGCTACATGTTTTTAAGATTTAAAAACGGTGCCCCCCCCCTGTTGAAAAAAAACAGCATATGCTGGTTAGGTATGTTTTGATGCTGGTTTATGCTGGTCCTTTGCTGGTTTAAACTGGCCCTTTGTTGGTTTATGGTGGTCCTTTGCTGGTTTAAACTGGCCCTTTGCTGGTTTATGCTGGTCCTTTGCTGGTTTATGCTGGTCCTTTGCCAGTACATGACCAGCATAAACCAGCAAAAGGACCATCATAAACCAAATGATATCATATACTGTATATCTATACAGGCAGCCATATCAACCTGTAGCCCAAGACTGGTTACCCACTGAAGCTAAGCAGAGCTGAGCCTGGTCAGTACCTGGATGGGAGATCTCCTGGGAAAACTAGGTTGCTGCTGGAAGAGGTGTTAGTGAGGCCAGCAGGGGGTGCTCACCCTGTGGTCTGCGTGGGTCCTAATGCCCCAGTATAGTGACGGGGACACTATACTGTCAACAAGCACCGTCCTTCGGATGAAACGTTAAACCGAGGTCCTGACTCTCTGTGGTCATTAAAAATCCCAGGATGTCTTTTGAAAAGAGGAGAGGTATGACCTCGGCATCCTGGCCAAATTTGCCCATTGGCCTCTGATCATCATGACCTCCTAACAATCCCCATATCTGCTGATTGGCTGAATCACTATGTCTCCTCTCCACCAATAAGCTGGTGTGTGGTGGGCGTTCTGGCTGCCGTCGCATCATCCAGGTGGATGAGGAGATACCCCCTGACAATGTAAAGTGCTTTGAGTGCCTAGAAAAGCACTATATAATTGTAATGAATTATAGTCTATTTTTATTTAGATATATAGATACAATTTATGTAATGTGTGTGTGTGTATATATATATATATATATATATACATACAGGTGCATCTCAATAAATTAGAATGTTGTGGAAAAGTTCATTTATTTCAGTAATTCAACTCAAATTGTGAAACTCGTGTATTAAATAAATTCAATGCACACAAACTGAAGTAGTTTAAGTCTTTGGTTCTTTTAATTGTGATGATTTTGGCTCACATTTAACAAAATATATTAGATATTATATAGAATGATTTCTGAAGGATCATATGACTCTGAAAACTGGAGTAAAAGCTGATGAAAATTCTGATTTGCATCACTGAATTAAATTATATTTTAAAGTATATTAATTATGTATTATATATGTGTATATAACCTCTGACACGGAGAAGAGTGAAAACTCCTCACATGACCGCTACCGAACATCTGAACATAATGAAACAAATGCACATTTACGGATCTTCTTCCGTCTGTTCTGCAAAATGTAAGCAAATGTATATTTCTGCAAGCATAAATATTGTGAAAATATCAATATTGTGTCTAGGCAAAGGCATTCCTCCTGGAACAGGTCAGGCAGTAGACGGCGCGTTTGGAATAAACTGTAGCATTTTAAACTAAACTTTATCTGAAGCATTAAGATAAAGTAACAAGAGGACCACAGTAACAAAGTAAAAGTACCTTTTTTCACTAAAAATGTACCGGAGTAAGAGTAAAAGTACCCATTTTTAAATATACTCTAAAAGTATTAGTTACCCCAAAAATGTACTCAAGTAAATGTAACGAAGTAAATGAAACCCACCTCTGGTTGCAGGTGAGTATGAGCTTCTTTCCAGGTGGCCTCACTGTCAGAGCTATCCGTTAACTGTGGGACGATCAGAGGGCTCACCAGATTAGGGGAATAATGGAGTTTGGAATCCGTGCACACATTGGAAGGGTGTGAGTCCGGTTGATGATTTCAAAAGGGAATTCTTTGCATACTCAGCCCAGAACAAATATCTGCTCCAGTCTGCCTGATTGCGGTGGCAGTATGATCGTACGAAGCGGGTGATCTCTTGATTGAGGCACTCAGTTTGGCCATTGGACTCAGGGTGATAGCCGGAGGTGAGATTTATATTAACGTTGAGATATTTGAAGAAAGCGGTCCATACCCGAGAGGTAAACTGGCAGTTTGGGTAGCGGTATCAGACGACAGGCCTTGGAAAAACTATTGATAACAGTCAGAATGGTGGTGTTGCCCATGGTATTAAGGAGGTTGGTGATTAAATCAGTGGCAATGTGTGACCATGGGTGCTGAGGGACGAAGTAAGCTTGCGAGCAATAGCTCGGCGGATTTGGTGGTATTACATGTGTAGCGTCTGCGTAGAATCATGCATGATCTTTGGGGTTTTATGGCTTAAGAGACCCTTTTAGCCTTTTGACATTTGCATATAAATTACAGTTCTGGTCAGAGACTTTACGTTTGTATGGGGGTCTAAATTGGCCAAATGGTTCCTCGCCATCAAGGAGATCCGACTTCAAACACTGTCCAAAGAGCTGTAAATGACCCCGATGGGCCTGGCTGAGCAAGCAAGCTAACACACACACACACAAACACACTAAAAGGTGGGTGTGGATAGGAACCATAAAAAGGCATTAGCCAAAAATAATCTCCGCTCAGAAACCCTCTTCGTTTGAGACAACACCTTTCCAAGACTCTCAAGATCTTCCTCTTGAGTTTTATTTTCCGGCAGTTTTTATCTTCAAGTAACTTTAGTCGCTGTGGACTTTTCCTTCGTCAGAAGAACCAGAAGTAAAAACTTCCAGCTGACTCCTCACGAACTCATCAAAAGACCTCCGGTGTCTACCGCATCAGGATTCTTCTTCAGCAATCAAAAACCAGTGCAAGTAACTGCTTAAAATTATTTAGATGCGTGTTTAAGTTTCAGCCCCTTTTTAAGGTGATTTTTGGATTCTTTGATGATTTTCAAAGGTTGTGGTTAAGTGATGTGAAATACTGCCATTCTTTTTCTATTCTCTCTCTTTTCCTTACTTTGTTTCATTCTGTGTATATAGAAGTGTTTTGCTTAGTTATATGTTAGATATAGTTTAATTTATTAAATCCCTTATATTCACAACGGATTGTCTCTGTTTGCTGCTCACAATTCGAAGTCAATGAATGTGTGAACCCTTGCTACATTTTGCTAAATTACTGCTAGCACTGCACAAAGAAGGACAGTTATTCTTCCTTGGCCAGGAAAATAATAGTTCCTTGAATTGATAAATGATTATATTGTCTGCTCGGTGAACGGACAGATCAAATAATTGTAATATTGATTCTGCTACAGTTAATTCGAAGATATAATCTAAATATTTATTATTAATCATAACCAGTTATAATTAGTCATAAATATTTCCCTTTTTAGAGCTGAAAAACCCTACACATGTTATGCAGTTTTGAATATATGAGATGGTATCAGCCTGAAGCTGGGCCACCAGAACCTGTTGGTGAGAAGTAGGATGGATGCTGTAATTCCTGGGTGGCCAGAGCTAGGCAGTTCGTGAACATGCTGAAGAACTTGTTTGCACAGGGAGGAGGGAATTTGGGCATTCAGCTGGAGAAGGTTTAGATTTTTGAGCCTCAGCAATCTCTGTCATGATATCCTACTGCACTGGTGCCAAGATGAGAGTGGATGGAATGATCGGATCGCGAGAGAGGGGTTGATAAGCAGACTCTTAAGGCCTTGTTTACTCTGTCAGTTAAATGTGACCCAATTCAGATTTTTTGCTCATATGTGACACAGATTGGATGTGTTCTATCACCGTGTAAACAGGAAAAAAATGCATGCATTCGGATATTTCGATCGGTTTTCAGGCCTCATTCATATGTGGAAATAAATCAGATATGTGCCAATGCGACTCATGTAAACAGACAGATCGGATTTTCTGCAGCATCGCATTCTGTACTTAAAACTGTGAAAATTTGTTACTTTTATGCGGTTTAATGACGTCATATTATTCGCAGGGAGAAGCACGTGTGGAGGCCGTAAATGACAACAATGCAGAATTACTTCGCATATATATGTTTTTTTTACAGTCTATGCATATATCGCAGAGCTAGCATCAAGCATATTTCGCGTTTGTCCATCTTGGCTAGTGTGTGGTGCAGGAAACCCCCTTTAAGCATGCGTGATGCTATGGCAAGTATAAACACATGAATCGAATATGGGTCACAATTGAAAGAATGTGTAAACGGACGGTCAAAAAATTTGATATAGGCAACAAATCAGAATTGTGCATCAAGACCTGCAGTGTAAACGAGGCCTTACTGATTGGATGGAGCTTCTGCTTTGGCATTCTTGGACCCTAGGCGATAAGTTACTGTGAACTGGAAATGGGTGAAGAACAATGCCCACCTAGCCTGGCTGTG